CTGATTTCTAATAAATAGCAAGCAGAACGCTGGGACTGCAGAGTGAGGTGGGGATTGTAAACTCTGTAGTCCCTTCTTGGTCTCCTCGCGAGTAAAACTAAATTAATTGTCTCTGTGCCTTCTTTCTTTCTCTGTATGTATGTATGATGTTTTAGGTGCTTAGACCTGACAGTAATACCTATGAAATAATGCACAAACATCATATAGGCATGCCATGCATTATGCATAAGTTGCCGTTGGACATAAGTTCTGGACTCCTTATGAATACGCTATGCAAACACCCAGAATGGAAAAAATACATAGAAAATTCAGCGTATGCCAGCGTTTTAGAAGATTCTGGGATGTTGGGCATATGCTGGCTAAGTCTGCAAGGTGTGACAGGACCCCAAGCTACTGGATCCAGAATTTGCCTGAAGGAGAAATCCCAAGGTATAAATAAAGTTGAGACTAAGTCTAAGTCTAGTAATTCCAAACCTGAAAAAAACTGAACAACTCCCTGCTAAATTTAGTTGCAACAATAGTTTTCTGTCTTATTAACTGTTTTAAAGAGACAAAGTAGCCTCGGTGGTATCTATTTTTCAACTGCACCAAAAGTTGCATATTTGATTGCAAATCTTGAGCTCTGAAAGGCAATGATTTGGACACTGTTAGAGCTCTGTTGTAGGACTTTATCTTCTGTTTACAGCAAATGTTAAACTCTTAAAGGCTGCATTTTATGCCTCCTTACTATATAGCTTTTACTACATCCAATGGAAAGAGTTCATGTTCATCTGAAATTCACACCTAAAAATGGGGCTTTTCAAAAAAGGTTGCATGAAAGATCAAGAGTTTCTAAAAAAGTTGCATGATAAGAACTTATAACCAGTCTGATGATTCGAAAATTTAAATTATCGACTAAAAAGAAGAAATATTTCTGCTGCTTTGCTCATATGTCCATTTATCCAATAATTTGGGTGTAAAAAGGGTTTTAGAACATATGTTTTTGGATTAAAATATGATTGAATTTAATAATTGATGTAATTGTATGTTTGTTGCTTTCTCAGATCTTTTAGCTTCCTTTTTCCATTTCATTTTTGGGAGATCTCGAATCTAAAGATCAGGCGGTCAAGAAATCAACTTTTTCCATTTTCACATCAGGCCATGTCGGTTTGGAAAGTTTTTATATTTTTTTTATCCTCAGTTATTCCAAAAACCTTTTATTGCACCGTGCTGAACATGATTTCTACTATCAGAAGTGACAGAGTTGAATGTTAAAGCTGCTCTTACCGAGCTCTGAGCTGTTAGTAGCAGCAGGGTTAGTGCCAGCAGACCAAACAGCTGCTGTGACGCCGCTTGTCTGTTCAGCTACAGGAAAAGTAAAAATCACTTCATGTTAGTCGCCTTAAAGACACTGATGTGTCCAATCTGCTGCAAAACCAAGACATGTATCCAAATAGTTCATGTTAAAATCTGTCCTACTGCTGCTGATGATGCTATCTACCTTACCATGTGTTGTGCTGCTGGCGGAAGCAGCGGTGGATGGAGGCGGGGCAGCGCTGGTGCTGATGGTGGCAGAAGCTGATTAGCACAACATGGTGGCATGTCAGTACCAGAAATCGCACAAACACACTGGGTTAAAGCAACAAACGCAGCAGCCTGTTGGGTCACGGCAGCAAGAGAGTTATTTTTACAAGGATAGCAGGAAATAGGCTGTTATTTATTGTTTTTGTATCAGGACCTAAAGGTGATCTGCTCTTTAACTATGGGGCCAAAATTGTTGCTTTATTATTTACAAATGTGTGTGGAGAGTCGTATATCTG